GCCATGTTGTTTTTTAGAGCCCAAATCTGCTTGCAAAAGGCATTTGTCCTTTTGTAATTTCAACTTTTGGCTTCCTGTCGTGTTTTTAGTTCAATTTTTATGGCCAAAACCAGCAGAATGATGCTATTATCTCAGATTCAAATGTGTTTTTAGCGTATTTTGCTGATTATGCCTCACTCACCTGTCCCATTTACTCTACTTTATAGTGACCACTGTCCACCTGTGTTACTGGAGGATAAAACAGTACTTGACTTTTATTTGTTACTTTTATTTTTGGTGTCAACATCAACCAACGCAGACAAAACAATTTGTGATTATAATTTGTTATGGCTGACTTTAATGTTCAAATAATTGTTGCATTAACATTGTTCTTCTTGCCAATCAATGTGCTTTTTAAACTTTCACATTTGTAATGGATTAACCTTTTAGAACCCAGAGCCATTTTTACTTTCATGAAAATTATGGGGGTTGCCTCTTTATTGGAGATACTTTTGCCAATGTTACTACAGAAATCTAGATGTTAGATACAATATGAATTATAAACTAAACACATCATAAGATTATTGAAAAGGTTTGCCAAAACAGAAGAAAGTATTATGTGAGTCAAAACCATGCTTAAACTCAAACAGCTGTTCTCATGGATAACGTGGAAGTCTAGCCTAAGCCTAATGGTAACATTTGAAGTGATTTCTTTCCTCTGGGAAGCAAAAGGCCACATCACATTTTCACAGATGGTGTTGGTTCATTTCATTTTGCAGTATTTGAAACAACTTTGCTTATCCCATTTTACAGGCCAGTGTGCGACCTTGTCAGTATGGACATTGTCTGGAACTCAAACTCTCTTGGATGGAGGTGGTTATGAGATAGATGTTCTGTGATGGGCGCCTCCTTTGTGACAAAGTCTGCCTGAAAGCTCCTTTGCTTCAGTGGATTTTTGACACCAAGTAATTTGAAATCACAGCAATAAACCAACCCTTTACTTAACACACTGAGCATGATGGTTTGCCAGAATAGGTAGAKATACCTCTGGGACATCATGTGCATATGTCAAGCTGTATGGAATGTCCGTAAGTTATAAGGATTTTGCGTCTTTTTGCAGGTATATAAATAGAGCAATCTTACGGATTTTTTCAAAACCTCATTTTCAAATTTATCTAACATGTCAGAGTCTGTAGGATGATTAAAAAAAAACATCAAATAACCATCGTCCARCCTGTTCTGCCGCTAGAAATAAGTTCTGCACTTCATCCGCTCTCCTTTCCTGCTTCGCAGCAGGCGCTGTCATCTCTGCAGCCGACAGACACCCCCTGGCCCGGCGGGCTGGTGCGAGTTACTGTATACAGATTTTTTAAGCTTTTTATATGGGTGAACATCCAAAGGGGTTGACATGTATGCATATGGTACTTGTACCTTGCAAGGCCTGCATCAAGAAGGAGGTCAATCCTGTCCATGAATGTGTTGTACTCCTTCATAATGTGCGGCCTTTTGACCGCAACAAATGATTTATCAAATTAGTCTGATTTGCCTCAGCAGCACGCTGTATCTTGAGGCTCAATTGAACAATAGGATGAGATCAGGTTAACTGATTTGTTGTCCCTCTTCAAAACGGCCACGCTCTCCTCTTTATCCACGCTGGCATCAAAAGATCCTCTTTATCTCTTGGTCAGACTTTCCTCATCTTCACGCTGACAACCCCGCTAAGCAATTCCCACAAAGTGTTCCTACAAAGTAAATTTGTCACTGAAGAAGTGTGAGCACAAGAGGAGCCGAGGAGAAGAAGTTATCAGCAAAATCTTTGTAGCTTGGCTTAACTGGAGAGTTTCGTACAGCTGCACCACAACATCACGTCCAATCCCAAGTATTTTTCCTAGTTCTACCTCGATAAAACACAAAGTCATAGAGAGTTCTAGAGGATGAGAAGCGGGCCYAAAACTTTACTCCCTAAGGGTGGGGCTTTCCCTTCACATACTGCTTTATTGGGCTGTGCCCCCCACGAAAGAGATCATTTGCTCATCAACATAGTCATACTCCTCTGAGATGATACCCTTGAACCCCATTAATAAATCTATCAGCACTTTTCATCCTCATGTCTGTTTGGCAAATCTGTGTTGCAATGACATGTAGAGGCCAGCATCGGTKGYGTGACACGTTATCTGCCACCAWTGGATGCCTTGTATCATTTTCCCAGTATGACTGATTTCTTGGAAGCCAGTATTTCTAATTCTTTACCCCTGGTATTAACATTTCTCAGATGGTCAGACTTTTTGTACTGTRTACATTTGTCTGTTCCATTAGCAATTGCAGCGTCTTCTCTGTGACGAACTTTCTGAAGAATTCCAGTGGAGTATGAATCTCAACACGAGGTTTGGCCCAGGATCCCTCATGCACTCTCCTTTGATGGCTGCCTCTTGCTGTCCTGGGTTCGTTTGGCTCGAATGTGGCTCTGCATCTAAATCACTTGAATCACATCAGTCTGAATTGCTAGACCCACTGGATTGTTCACTCTTCATGTTTGTGTTGGATGTCATCTGGACTTTCACCTGAGCTACTTTCATACCCCTCATTGTCACTGCCGTCTCCAATGAACTTTAGCTCTTCCTGAACAGTAGTTTCTTTTTATCCATTCAAATATATATATATATATACAGTATATTGATAGATAGATAGATAGATAGATAGATAGATAGATAGATAGATAGATAGATAGATAGATAGA